ATTGGGCCCGATGGACCAATAAGTTTCCAATTTGACCATCTTGGGATTAGAACTCTTAAATGGGCTCTAATTGGACCCACTTCCAATTATTTCAATATTTTGGGCCATATTGGGCCTAGAATGAAATAAATTATTTATATGAACCATTTTGGGCCATAATTAACCTAATTTAGCCCTAATAGGTCATAAAAATTATACTTTGATTTAATTGAGCCAAACATCATCTAAATTATCTATAAGGTGGCTTAAGGGCAAAAAGCCCAAAATTTATTTCTCTTTTTTCCTCTCTCTCAGCCCAAACTACAAACCCAAGGGAAGAAGGGTTGACTTTTGGTAGCCACCTCACCATTATCTCTTGGATTCCCATGTTAAGGCCTCATATCTCCATGCAACAATCCCATCACCACTCTCTCCTCCTCTCTCTTTTCTTCTCTCGGCTGAACCCAAAACACACACACACTTCACTCAACTCACTCAAAAGAAACTCTCTCCACTCCTCTCCAAGTGTTTGAAAATTAGGAAGCTTCAAGGAGATTTTTCCCACAAACACATCATCTAAGGTAAGTTGATGTTAGATCCATAAGCTAGTTATTTCATTCCATTCAATAATCACATCTTAATCCATTCAAACTTATGATTTCGCACCTTAGAAGCATCTAAGTTCGAGATCTTCCAAGGAGGGTTACTAAGGCCGAATTTTCTTCTCATTTTTCTTCCAAAACCGAAACCACACCCAAGGTGAGCTTCATACCCCCTTATTTTTCAGTTTTTATAAGTTTTTGTGGGGGAGAATACAAGCAAATGTGTAGATCTATGAGTAAATGTATGCCGTGTGTGATTCTTATGCTTATATGATGATTTTATGTGATTTGTGATGTTTATGTTAGCCAAAAGAACCTAAAAACCGAGAACTACAATATGTGGAATGAAATAAGTATAACTTATACCATTTCACACTAATCAAGTCTAGAAAAAGAGTTTAGTTGGCTAAAATGAACATTTTTGGACTTGAAACCCATTTTTGGACTCAAAATGTCAAAAATACAAAACTAAGGGGCCCAAAACAACAAAAGATAATTTCTGGAGGTTGAAACAAGTCCAAACCGTTTCTAAGATACTTTTTCTGAATAAAAACACTTTGGAGGGGCTTAAAATGTGAATTTTAAACATAATGGACTAAAAATGGGCTTTTCGGCCCAATAAGCCCAAATTGCGAAATTTTCTAAATATAGGGGCTGAAAATGCAAGTTTCTGTAAAACAGGGGACTACAAGTGTATTGAACCTATTTTGTAGGTCGAAAATGCTTTTCAAATTCAAAAGGGATCAAAAATGCAAAAATTTCCCATTTTAGGCCGAAATTGTAAAGATTGCGAAAAATGGGGGTTCCAACTGAGAAAACCTCATTTTGAAGGACTTAATCTATTTATTAAGTAAATCTTGGCTGAAAATGTCTTTTTCAATAAGTTTTGATGCTAAAGTGTCAAGAAAAATGGTTAGGGACTAAAATGGAAATTCTTTTATATAAAGGGTTAAAAGTGTATATTTTATCCAAGTAGGGTCACAAAAAGGTAAACTTTTACTTATAAACAAATAAATCCCATTAGATAAAATACGAGCACTACGGCTACCGGCGAAACGTAATTACAAATACACCTTCAACACCAATATCGTTACCAAACGATTCGATTCGGTCTCGAATCAATTACAAAACAAAAATCAACAAACATTAGTACTTCAATAAAAGCGCAAAATTTTCGTGAAGTCAATACACAATCTTTGGGCTTTAAAGTTTCAAATCGTGCTTGTTGGGCCTAGCTAGTCCAATGACATGATCTTTAGGCCTAAAGGGAACACGCTTACATGTTATTGGGCTTCTATGACCTAATTCCATGTAAAAGGACTTTCAATAGCTTTATTGTGCTGTTGGGCCCCAAGGGTCCGTTAGTGAAGAGACCTTTAGATCAATCGATATATCAAACAAAGACAATAAATAAGAACAAGAGAAATTCACGATGAAAAACTTTCACTAAGAAAGATAATCTCACAAAGAGATTATCGTGTGCACAAAGCGACAATTAGGGTTTGTGAAAGTGTACGCATTCACAAACCTGTACAAGATAATATATACTGTTATTCTAGACAATCCCTACAATCCAGGGATATGCCAGCTAACTAATTTACGCTAACTATGGAAACAAGATAAATACAAAAACGGTTACAATGTGCTGAATAAAGAAATATATACTAATGCAGATACTGATGCTGATGCTGAGTCATGTGCTGACGCTGATAGACTAGTTTCAAATATCATCATATTTCAAGGTTTGACCTTACAATCTCCCCCAATATGATGATGTTCAAAACCAACTAGATTAAAACACCTCTGGACAAGAATTCTTCATACTCAGTTTCAGCTTCAATTTTATCTGGCCAGTAAGGACTGTCCAGCAATTCCTGTCTTCTGTTCAGCAGCTCCATGGCAATAAGAATGTGAAATTCTCCGGATAGATTTTGATGACTCATGCACATTTGCCTTAAGCCAACAAGGTGAGTGGTTGGAGCCTTTGGGATCTCAGTAGTTCGTTGAAAGCACATCCTCCTGTTTTTGTCGAGATAGAACATCCCGTGTTCAGGAGCTGAGATGAATTGATGCTGAACTGGATCAACACCAAGAGGAAGAGAATTATTAATCACATCAGCACCGAAGTCTAAAACCAGTACTTCTTCACCATCAACATGAAACTTGGTCCTTCGAGATCTAGGAAATGACGACCTTTGTCCTTGATGCTGAGGTCGTTCTTTGGGAACAAGATCCAAACGCTGAACCTTCTTGATCAGTAGATGAAGAGCACAAGTCAGTTCGGAAGAGTGAGCTGAG